CTTGTCAGTTAGTCAAAAGGGCACTAAAACAGCATGTGTATAAGAAGAGTTTGGTTTGATGCTGCAACCCTCCCTGGAAACCCATGCATTATAAACATTCCAACTGATGAGGAAAAGGAAATATGTCCTTCATTTCTGAAAAGTTTATGCAAATTAGTGAAAGATATTGGGGAGGTCAAGAGTAGGGGGAGTATCAACAGCCAGTAAGAACAGTAGATCAAGAAAAAAACAAAAACAAAACAAGAGGCAGGAAGGAGGGGAGGCTGAGGAGGAAGAGGATGCACTTCTCCTGAGAACATGTCATATCTCAGGGTTTAGGAGGGGTAATAGGGGCAAGCAGGACAGGGAGGAGAGACAAGCATTCTTCTCACGACAGAAAAACTTCCTCTGACGCTTGCCCACTTCTGAGGCACTTTTCTTCATGTTCATGCTCATAAAGAGCTGGTGGGTGGCATGGTCAGCCTCTTGCCAATGTAGACCCTGAAAAGAAGGTAAATGACGTTAAACACGATTGGGTGTGGTGGTTTAATCAATGAGCTAGGCAAGGTGCCTAAAGCCTGATCTGAGGTAGGGGTACCTCAATTACTCTGTCACCTTTCATTGAATCCATTCAAAGTAAGTGGACATTAAACCAGTGGTTCCAAACTTGCGAGAGACAGTTTATATGAAACAAGAAGCTGCACACGAGACTGAAAACTACTGGTGCTACATAAGTCAAACTGAATTGAACTCTATGGGGAAGGTAGATGACAGTGGTAGAACTATACCTTTCAAGGGTCCCATTATAATAACGTTACTTAGTTACTGCTTTAAACAACTTCCCAAAGCAACTCCTGGAGACTGCCAAGTCACAATGACTGCTTAATCTGCAGATTTAATGCTAAATACTGTTTTGCATTGGATACATTTTGCTCTAAAACCAACCCTTTATTTTGAATGCAAATGCCCAGCAGACATATCTCCCCCCCAATATGATTGGTTCGTTAATGTCTCCCACTGAATACCACATCATGTTCAGCAGATGATGTCTGAAGTATTAATGCTGTGTAATGATTGTGTCTGACTGGGGAGCCAAGATTATTGTACCATGTGTTATCACAAACATCAAACCCCTGGGAGTGTCACTGTGAAGCAGCAGGTGTGCAGCCTTTTAGTCTGCAGCTGTTCTGCCAACATACAAAAGAGTGGTTGCAGCTGATGTTTGTCTGTGGTTATACAGCTCCCCCTGCTGGGGTTATGTACAACAACATGTTTGGTTTTTTTTAAAGATTTTATCCTTTTTTTGACATACATTTAAAAAATAAATCAGTTGAGCAAATTTCACTAACTACTGTCAGTCTTGCTTTAGACATAACACACGCTGCACAGGTGATCTGTGGTGTTTGATTCTTACCCTAGCCCCAGAGCGAGGATGTGTGATAGCAGCAGTGAGGGGATGAAGACTTTGAGGAACTCTGCAGAGAAGATGCCTCCTTTCTTCATGGCCCCAGTCTTCCTCATACTGAGCGTTACTGAGCGTCGGGGGTGCCGGAAATGAAATTCCCTGTTTAAAAACACACGCATTATAGATGCAGAACAGTTGCTTCATAACCTAATGCCTCTCAATAAAAGGTAAATATAGCTGTAAACATAACTTTCAGTCACATATGAAGCAAGCAAGCTCTTTCTGTGTAAGAGTTTGCACCTTTTCTTTGTTTTATACCTGCACACCTTAAAACACCTTGCGTGTTGGAGAAAAGTAGCAATTTGAAAAACACTGATGTGAAGAAAACTAAGTGATTAATCAACTAGTTTTAATCCCACAGCATTTTCAAAGCTGGTACCAATTAAAAGAGATGTTTGAGGCAGGGGTTCCCCTCTGATTTAATTTCACAATTTTAATTCCAGTCACAGTTTAGCAGGCATCTTCTTCAGAAGCTTCAGAAACATGAAAAGAACAACAAGGAACCTGCCTTTTACCCCGGCCTCAGTCTGTGCATGAGATCTTAGGTTGTATCACAGATGTTGTGCACATTTATCTGAGATACATTACAGGGGTTTAAGTAATATATAGCTTTTATTCCAGCATCAGAGCTGACACCTTATAGCAGCTGGCTTCGTATTTGTTCTTTAGAGTGAATTTATTACCATAATGATCATTTCCTTTCTCTGCACAAACGAGCAGCTGAGCATGATCACTTGCACGCAGAAGGCTGATGTTTACAGAGTTCAGACTTACTTGGGGGGAATGTTTTCCGGTCGACTAGACCAGTCTGCAACCCAATCTGCGTCCTTCATCAAGATGTCCATGTCCTTCTCCTTGTCCAAAACATCCTCTTCAGACTAAAGGCATAAAAACATGTAGTTTAGTAATAAAAGCCTGCAGTCTTTAGGACCCTCACAACCTGTCTGTCAGGACAAACGAGACTTGTTTGGAATATTTGAGCATGTGCATGCCATGTTTTCAGATGTCTGACACCAGGAAAACACATAAGTAAAACTATAATACTGATGACAGGCTGTGCGGACGATACAGAAATACACACTGGGTGTGGCAGCCATCTCCATGGAAACTAAAGGCAAGCAACGGCTGTCATTCCCCTCCAGGGCCAGTGGTTGAAGCTGCCATGGCAACAGACTGATGAAGCATATGATAGGCATATATATGCTTACGTCTTACCTGGCTGTCTCTTCTTTCCGCGTCAAAGATGATCTGACCCTCATCCTGAGGAGAGTGGGGTCGTGGGGGGCTGTGGTTTAAAAAAATAAATAAATAAATAACAACAATAATAATAATTTGACAATTCCCTCATTTAACTTTAAAGTAAACAGGTGATGTACATGTTTTGCGTCACCAGTTATCAAAGCAGTACAAAAGCGCATACATGCTGTGGTAATGTGTTCTACATACAGAAAAAAATATTACTTTAATATCAGCATTTATTGTACCAGTACCAGCTGGCGGATCCTTATCAAATTGATCTGACACACAGCAATACACAGTCTTTATGCATTAGTTTACATTGCAACACTAGGCTGGACTGGATCATATGACCCAAGACAACAAAATCCAAAAATGAAAGCTCCCTATATTATTTTAACCTTGGGGTAGAAAAAAGCCCCAGGTTTGGGTGGTATTGCAATATTAAAGTGTACTTCAGAGAGTTAGAAACCATAGGTCATGTAGCGTTTACAGTGTGAGAAATGTTTTGTCACACAATCTATAAACAAATACCACTAAAGCCTATTCCACAGCACATCCGCCTTGCCGTACCACAAGCACTATGCCTTATAAATGCATCGTCATCATGGATCTGTGAAATATTAAACAAATGAATCACTTAATATGAATAACAGGATTAAACTTGTAGCTTGTATTTATTTGCTATGAGTTAAAAGTCCTTTAAAGTGCTGCTCTTCCTTCACTCTGACCCCTCTGATGAAATGTGTGCCAAGTGTCTCAGAAAGATAAGTAAAGAAAACACTTGCCTAATTGCCTCTGAGCAAAATGACACCAGCCTTGCTCTGAGAGTGTTATGACAAAATATATGTCAAGTGCTTGTGTCCCTGATCATTTCTGAGCGGTTTGCTGATACACTGCTCTCAGCTCAAATATCTGAAATTATGCTCAGGTGACTTGCTGACAGCGGACTGATAAGGTCCCTTTTATCACAGTTTTGAGCATTACACACAAGCACACGATGTGGCTGTAGGGCAAAGGGTCAGTTTGTTGCTTACATCCCAGATAAATTGTGAAGTCTGCTATGGAAAGAAGAAGCAAGTCGACTGAGACCCTTTCAACTCTGAATTGAATCTGATTTATTGTGACAGAGAAGCCGCTCCCAAAGAGCTTTTAGAAGCAAACTGCCCAGTATTTACCACCTTGTAAGACCGAGTTTTTATGTTGCACAAAGTCTTAATGGAGCCTAAAAGCAATTTTCTCAATGGTTGTAGGGTTTTCACACCAAAATGCACAGATAAAAGCTGGTTTTATAATAAACATATGTCAGGAAAAACAATAGAAGAAAAAAAAAAGTGCAGCATAGTTTCTGGTTTAACATCATCATGCTAGTCAGGTGACAAGTGTGTTTACACTGTGCCCTGAAGATATCACATCTGATAGACTGTTAGCACAGTGAGCTAACACTTCATCTAGTACTATTCCCTGTCATAGCATGTCACTGGTAAGAATCAGGTGAAAATAAGGTCATCATAGCCAAAACCCAGTATTACTTCAGAGGCATTTGACTTGCTAATACATGCTGCCTGTTGGGTTAGTATAAAAAGGGCTTCAATTGTGCATTTTAAGATAACCGTTTCCAGTTTTTAATTTCTAAGAATAATACGTAATAAGAACATAAATATGCATAATTTTATTTTAGCAATTTGTATGGCTTTAGCAAAAAATAATTTTATTTATTTTTTTAAATCTGCCTTTCTGAAGCATGTAGCTTTACGCTGAGAGAAAATTCACAGGAAAAAGCTGAAGAGGAATCAACTTCCCCATGTGACTAAATCTTCTACAAATACAGGCCTTTATGAACCCATGACTTTCTTGACTCTTGATCGTGATTAAACTCCTCCAGATTAGGACATCTGTGTTTAATGTCAAACAGATCTGGGAATACAGGAAGCTTTGCAACTAAGCTGGTTTTATTCTGAAAGTTTTAATATTTGCACTAAAAATGAAACTTTGTTGTTAAGAATAAACTGAATAGGTTAGAGATATACGGAGGAGCTCAAGCTATGTTTGTTCTTAAAAGTACCTGTCACAGGACGAGTTGCTGCGGCTTGATTCATGCTGGGCATCCAACAGGATCTTTTCCATGTCTCCGTTGTGGATTGAAGAAGAGGATGGGACATGCTCCAAGCCTCCCACTATGGCCTCCTCTTCCTCCACCTGAGGGAGCGGCAGCAGGCCCGAAACAGAGCCAACTGTTGACAATGACTGCGCTTGGTGATTTCTGTTCATCTCCAACTCCACCCAGGACCCTGAGGGAAGAAACACAGAAATATTATTCAGTATTTGTTTCTTTCTGATGTGAGTTAAAGGCTTCATTTTAAAACATCTTCACTCAAACAGAGAAGAGGTTTGCTACTAGGCTAACTGTAATCTCTCATAAAAGGTGTTCTTGCAACAAGCAGATAGAAAACTAGCGGCTTCGGAATTTACAAGAACTTTGAGTTTAAATGGCCAAAGTTATATTTCAAGAAATACCATTTACTTTCCATTTGTTGGTCTTTTACTTATTTACAAAAAAAATAACAGTAAAATATTCTTGGATCTTTTCTTTCTATTAGAATTAAAAACAAAAAGATTGTTTATATTGTGATAAGAGAACCATTGTTATCTTAAATCTTTTTGTATAAACATGAGCCAGCTTCTATTTTTAGAAATCCAGTTGACTCTATGGACATGTGTTAAGCTAAAGATTAGATTAAATTTTGCATTGCTTTTCAAAAAGGGAGACACGTGCACATGCTTCTCTGTGCATGGACTTGAAAATAAGTATTCAGGTTATCAAACAGTTAACCAAATTGGTTTTTAAAAAGTTAACATCCACCACTTTTTATAAAATAATTACAGACTTTAAAACAAACAAACAAACAAACAAACAAACCAGACACAATGACAGGACATGTTTAAAATGTAAATTTCCAAAAATGTGCCTTTTTAGCTTGTGAATGAAATAAAACCCAACCCTAAACCTTGATGGGTTGCAGTTAACAGGCCAGATCCTAGAGCTGTGCGGGATAGGTCATTAACTACCCTGATTAAAGTTAAGCATTCTTAGCCTTTGAAACTCACTGCTGTGCCCAGTAATGAGTTTCGAGTTGTTCTAAGTAAACTTGTTTATACCCGTTACTGGCTTGCACAGAGCTAAAGAGGAACCTCAAGCAGGCTCTCCATAAGGAAACAGCTCAGCAGGTCTGACCACACAATAGAGAGCAGGAGAAAAAGAAGAGCAGACCACTGTCAAAATGTTTTTGCTCGTAGAGAGATAAACAACAATGGATAGTTGAAGTTTTGTTCAAATGGGGTGGGGGTAGTTCACCTGCTCTCAAGTTACAGTTGCAGGAAAAACCTGGAAGTCTGGTGTGGGCTTGAATCGCATTCAAGCCATAAAAGTATATATCATATATGGGTATACCTAATGCCCCAGAACATTTTTATCCATTAAAAATTAATGTTTTGTTCTAAACCGTAAACACTATTTGTTACCAACTCACTGTGTGTTGATAGAAGCATACAGCTATCAACTCTCTCCTAATTAGCCTCATATAGAAAAATGAGAGTTGTTAAAAGGAAATCTCATATTAAATACAGTTCTAAATGGCTTTAATTTTTCATCATCTACATTTTTAAAAAGAGGAAGTGAATCAACTGTAAGCTTACAAAATTTCCCACTCTTTAAGCCTGTAGAACCTGTTCAAATCATAATTTATCTCTACAATCATGGATAATATGGAAAGCACAGTAACATACGCAAAGAATGGTTTTATAATGACATAATATTTTTTCCTGTATGTACTAAGGAAAAGTGTAGAACAAGTAACCATCATCAAAAAGATATTATTATAATAATTTAAATAGAGATGTCTGAACGAGGTCCAGGGCTGTAAGTGACTAAAACTTACATTAAGTGTGACCTGAAATGACCATTTGAGTCCATCAAGTCATCAGGAAAGTGCTTATATGTCAGGTCTGAGAGGCCTTTCCCCATAGACATGGGGAAGTCTTTAAAACCACTGATTATTATTATTTTTATTTTTTTTTAATCTTTGACTTTTGCATGTCTACATACATTAGTCAGAATTTGACTGATTTATGTCTGTTATGACAACAGAAGTCTCTTTGCCACCCACAGGGTGACAGATTCCTTGAACTATTAGTGAAAGCGGCAAAGTTTTAGCTGGAGACTTGGAAGACATTTCTCTCAGCTGGCATCTGACTGGTTATTCAGATGATAAATTGCACCTGTTGTTATCCTGCCACGACCCGTCACAATATTTGCCTTTTGTTTTATGACTGGTACAGGGTGTGACAAAGCCACAGCATTCCCTCTGATTAAGGTAAAGCGGCCTTTACTAGAAAATCCAAGCAAAAACATGCAAGACAACAAAGACAGAGCATGTCAACAATCATTTTCTGAGGGGAATTTCCTGGAAAGAGACAAACTGGGCGCCCAAAACTGGCAGTTGAAGAAGTTAAAAAGTAATGTCATTTTCACAGCCCTGTGGTGAAAGAGCACCTAGTGTACAGTATGTGCTGTGGCTGTGATATATGACGCGCTGTCCCCATTAGTACGTGATGTCTGACATGAACTGGTAACTAAAGAGTACAGCATGTCAGAGATGGGTTACAAATTTAGAGAGGGGCAGATTAGCCAAGTCTAGAATTTTGAGAAGGGGGTGGGGGGAATCTTTACGCAGCTTTAAAACACTTTCTCCTCCTACTCCACCAAAAAAAAAAATAAAATGGAGGAGGAAGTCCTTATAAATATTACCATTACAGTATGTAAACACCATGTTTAGAATTAAAACAGGCCAGTTAAAAGCAAAGGGTGCAGCCCCCCCCTCTTAACAGGCCTCGACTCAGCACTCACACTCATCCTGCAGATTACACGGTGGACTGCAAGCCAAGCTGCTGTTGACAGGCCATTGTCTCCACTCTGTGGACTAAAACCACGTTGCCATGGTGCTGATGCATCCGAACATTCTGGCCCAGCCCAGCCATCAGCTGTTGGTGGGGTTCATAGGGGTGAGACATGATAGATATGACCTCTGATCCATTGATGTTAAGGCTCAAGCTTATCCATGGTCGCATGTTGGGACTCAAGACCCCTGGGATTACATAACTATATTTATGACACTGGTGTGAGTGAGAAAACACCTAAAAAGAATCAGATTACAAAGTGCACTGCTGGCCTCTCCCTTGTGATAAGCACAAGGGCTAGCTGTCCTTATAGGTGTGTCACAGGTTTTGCACTGGGATACACATTTTTTTCCTTTTTGATCTTCTAATTTGGGCAGATGATATTCAACAGGCTGTTTCATATATATACTAAAAATGTCTGCCATGAACTCGGGTGGAATACATTTACCATCCAGTGACCAAAGACTGGCAATTTTCTAGCCTTTTTTTTAGAAGCAGCTAATCTCCACTGGTTGTTCAAAATGATATATGTGTGTGTGAAAACCAGCTGGGAAGTTTGTTTCCTATCCAGCAGACTTTGGCTTAAAATTAAGCAGCCTCTGTGTTCTTACATGCTGCTTCTTGTATAATACTCCTCACCTCCCCAACCAATTTCTTTCGTCATGTGTATAAGGTCTGTCCCCTTGTCGTTGTGGCCAAAAATGGCATGCCAAGTCATTGCATGCCATTTATGTTGTAAAACTTGAATCACAAAAGCTGTCTAGGCAGAGCCCCCCCTCAAGTAAGTAAGCCGGAGTGTCAGCGTTCTTATCACACCACCTTTAAGGGCATGTTTTAAACAGAGGGATGCTAGCCAAGTTGCGGTCAATACTGGACAATCCTTCACACCCTTGTAGCTGTTCAGCACAAGATGGAGAGTCATAGAGGCAAGTTCAGCAAAAGACTCATTCAAACACAGGAAATCAAACTTTATAAATGCTCCTGATGAAACCTAGGTGTTTTTCCACTTATAATATCACATCTATACTGTACATAACATTAGTTTAACTTTGGGATATTTAATTATTTTAATTTAACATTAGTTTTACTTAATTTTGTTGGGTATTTTTTGGAATTTTTTATATATTTAGAGATTTTCCATATTTGTATTTGTATAAATTAACATCTGTAACAAAACAGTATTCTGATTCTGATTTCAATGCAAACAATGGTCTTAAGTAAAATATTTATTTCATATCTTTCTATAAATACCAATGGACTTAGTTAATAAACTACGAAACTAAAGTAAAAAAAACCCAAAACAAAGCAAAGTGCAAATGTTTAGACAGACATGTATTTGGCAGAATAAATTAAAGCAGATGAAAACCAGAGGAAAAAAAGGAAAGAATATTAAGTTTTAATTCCGCTTATCAACAAAAAGTTATGTCGACGGGAAAAAAGTTACATGAACGACAGAAGTAACCTCAAAACTCCAAGCAAACGAAAATCTTAAAGACAGTACTTTAGTTTTCTAAATTTCTTTTTGCTACTTTCCAAGAAACGAACGATTCAGGTTAAATTACCAAAATGCATTTCCCCATTTTTGCCACTTTGAACTTTTTCGATCTAGCCTTGTTGACAAAGCAACTCCACATCTACGTTATACCTACAAATCGCTGATTGGCTTAGGATCTTGTCAATCGCGCGTACAACTAAAACACCATTGGTCCAAACAGTGTCAATAAACACGCGGAACATACCGTTCTATAAACCGTCCCCCTTGTAGGCAGCTTTGCCGTGAAAAAAAATACATAAGCATACAAAATTACTGGTTAGCCCTGCAATAAGCCTACTATAAAAGCATCCAGAAATTATTTTAGAAAGAATATAGACCGGGTAGCTGTCACAGTTGAGCAGTTTGGTTAGGATTTAGCTTACCGTTTAGCCCCGAGTCTCCGTTGTTGTCTGTAGAAGTAGTGTTAGCGTCGGACATCGTCGTGCCTGGCGAGCAGGATGGGTTGCATAAAAGGCTCGAGTCAGTGCAAAAAGCGCAGTGTTTTAGCTGCACACATTCAGAGTTGTAATAAGAGAATAGACCCGAGTCGTGCGCTTCTTTTTTTTCCTTTTGTTTTTTTTCTTAAAGATGTGGGTTGAGGGGGACAGCAGCTAGCTAAGCTACAGCACAGCTGTCGCTTGTTTTCGAGCGTTAGCTGGTCTGGAAGCAGCCAGTCTCCCCGCGAGCCCGCTCACGCCTTCGCTCCCTCCCTCTCTCCGGGAAGCTGAGTGATGACGTCACAGCCTCCAGTTGATAAGCGCGAGAGAGAGGGGGAGTCGAATTACATAACGAGGCGGAAAAAACAAAACAAAAGCTCAGGATATTACATGCATGAATAATTGGAAAACAACTGAAGATCCAAAGTATTTTTTTAAGAATTCTTTTTTTTAAAGCATCGGCATTTGTTGCTCACGGGCTTTGAGTTTGCCATGCAGGACGGGACGTGTATGCCCCCACGTACACACGCGGTCAAGCCACGAGCCAGATGAATGCTTATTACCAGCTTTCAGCAAGTGGACACCCTTTCAGCTGATTTCAATAAACTTTCAGCGGCTGAATTTTATCACGTCCATCAAGTATTCCCTTAATCGCAACTGCACGTACGTCTTGCACGGTGAATGATGGGGCAACAGCTTTAAAAAGAAAAGAAAAAAGTCCCCTTACCAACTGGAGTTTAATGATGTCAACAACAATGCTCTGTGATAATCCAGCTGTAACGCTTTGCATAACATCAGTTGAGCAGTGATGAGATCCCACCAACAACCAGGCATTCACAAGGATGCAAAAAGTAGTTCCTTTATTTTTTTCCCCCACTGTCATTGATTAAAATTGTAGTTATACATTACTAGAGGCATCAATATAGTCTTAACTGTCCACTTTTTAAATAGGGTGTGGAGACATCCAAGTGCTGCAGATCTTCTGTGAGGCTCATTGCACCGTCACAGTTACAGTATCAGTTACATCTGCAGTAGTTTAAACACTGTAATGCCTCAAATCTTTTCTTAAAAAAAAAAAAAAAAAAATTGCAGTCTCACATCACAGACATCCAAGTACTTGAGTTGGTGCAGCAACAAAGTCCAGTGTCAAATCAGATGTTCTTCCCTGTTGTGAAGTGCAGCTTGAACTGAATGCTGTGGTACAGAACTGGGGGGTTAAAAATCCATCCCCCCTCAAAAAAAAGAAAAAGGTCAGGCTTCATCTCACAAAATAGGACGGAACAAACCTGTTGACTCTTTAACCTTTTTAATATAAATATGACCATCATAATTATCTTTGAATAGGCCTTCTCTGATACCTGACTATTATTGAAGACAAGAGAAAACAAAAAAAAAAACAGGAGGAAGAGGAGCTAATGCACAAAAATATCACGATACACTCACACACACACACACACACACACACACACACCCAAGGGGAAACAAAAAAACAAACAAAAACCAAAAAGAAGGAGGTCTTACTGAGTTTGGGCCTGTTTGGCCAACCAGAGCCTGAGGCACAGTGACAGAAACAGCAAGCAGGACAAAAACCTCACTGGACCAAATCTGAGCGGACAACAAAAAACAACCCCCAGAAAGCAAAAAACACTGTACTTCTCAAAATCCTGGATGTGTCCAAGATGAGCAGCAAGTTGTGATGAATGTATGGTTTAATGAAAAAAAGGAAATGTGAAGACACTCAACAAAACCAGACAGCAGAACTGATGAATTAGTGAAAAAAAAAAGTGTACACAAAACAAAGGTCAAACTTTTCTTAGAAAAGTAAACACTACAATGGCACAGGATAATAATGGGACAAACTAGGTGTTTTTCATTTTCTACCATTTTAGGGGATGGGGGATATTTATAAAAATAAGTGTGTCTGTATTCAGAATTTTAAGGAAATTAAACTTGTTTCACCCACATTAGAAAAGTAAAGGGCAGGCAGGTTGGCAAAAGAAAAAAAAAAAATGATGAAGAGAAAGAAATTGGCACAACATCACTTAACAACAAGACAGGCATCACTCTGCCACAGACAGACTGATGATGGGCAAGAGCAAGTCCTCCTCTGTCCACATCTAGTGGCAAAGTCTGGTACCTCAGTAGGGCCGGACAGGGATGCTGGTTGTCGGCATTACCACCACAGATCGCCCTGGATGAGGCTGTGTGGCTGCGGGTGGTTACAAATGACATCACCCACGCCAGATGTGACAAGCTCACCCTGCAATTAGTTCACTTTATCCTGGAATATGTAGAGGTTGTTGGTCGTTGCCACCGCAATGATGTTGTCCTGGGGATGCCAGGCAGTGTGCAGGATCTTCTTATTGAAGTCCAAACTATCCACGCTGATTTCATCCTTTTTGCGTTTGCCGCCTGTGCACACCTTGCGGGGCTTCAGGACCTGCATGGGCTTGCTGTTTTCACGGGACGCCTCCAATGTCACATCCCGTCTGTGGCCGCGATCGAACATCCTGAAGAAGTTGTTATATGAGCCGGTCATCACCACACTGCCCAGAGTAGGTGGGGAGACGTGGGAAAAGTGAGAGTCATCAAATCAAGTTATCCAAAAACAATGTCCATTAGAAAAGAAAGTTTAAACTTTGTGCACCACTAGTTTGCAAGTGAGGGGCAATTAGAGGACAACTCTAAAACTGCTTACACATCAGAAGTGATTCCCAGGTACAGGGTTGCCAGAAATCATAAGAAAGTTAAGGATAACTTCAACCAGGCTTATGGGTGAAATGACCACTGGCTATACAAAGTGGGCAGAACCTGGCAAGTCACTGAATCGTCTACCAATGAATAAAGACTACTTCTGACTGAAACATGATGTGGTAATAAATATGTTATAGGGTTACATAGGCAACCGGAGGCTGAAAAGTCAATCAGCTTTAAAGCAACAAATGCATCACATCCATTGTGTATATATTTAATATATTTTTACAGAAAACATCAGTGATGGTGTTACAAAAAACGGACCTTAGTGTTCAAGGGTTAATAATCATTTTATCACTTGTTCTTTGAAAGCTTTTTATTTTTATGTACCATTGCGTTGGTTTATTTTATTTATTTATATCCAGTGATTATAGCATATTATTTTTCCTACCTTTTATCGTTTTTATCTTTTTACTGCATTTTATCTAGCTGTACTTTCATTCATGTTTCTTCATTCAAATATATTAAATTATGCAATCCTTATGCACTTAAGTCATTTTAAAATGTCATTTATATTACATTTCTTTGATTTTTAAAAAAAAAAAAAAAGATCTTTAATTGCTTATCATTGCATATTATTGGTTTTACTATATATTTGTTCTGTCTTATCAGCTTTGGCAGATATCTGTGAAGCACTTTGAACCTGAATGAAAGGTGCTACACAAACAAGGTTTGATGGATTGAGGCCAAATGTGCAGTGCACCAACCAAAAAGAAAGAGTGGGGGGAAAAAACTTGCAGGGTGTAATCTTTAAAATTATGACAGCAATAAACAAAGTGCTACCTGAAAGATTATCTTATTTCCTAGTGTTATTATTGCAATACCCCTGTGTGTCTCAAACCTTTTACCTGTCATTGCCATTCCAGCAGCATTCAAACTTGTCAAAGATGCAGTCATTCTCATATAGCGAGCACAGCTTGCTTCTCAGGTACTCATGAACCTGCAATGATTTTTGTGGGTAGGGGGGCAGAAACATGATAATAAGAAATTTTTAAAGGAGACTTCCAAAAGACAAACCTCTAATATTCAAAATCTCCTGCACCCCCATAAAGTAGCAGGTGCTTGAATCTGTGAAAAAGCACATCTAAAATGCCTGTCATTATCTGTAACCCTATCTTTCAGGGTTGGGTCCCCCTTGTGGCCACTATATTACATTACCAGGAATGACTGGGCAAAAAAAAAAGAGAGAAAAAAAAAAAAAAGAATGGCAACTGTCCAATTGTGACATGAATATAATAAACTGCATATAATAAAATAAAAACTAAAAGTGCATTAAAATCAAATGAGTAAATATGAAAACCAGAGTTTCATTAACAGGCTGTGGACACTATCAGACAATATTAGGTGTCAATCCTCCTTCCTCTTTCCATGCATCACCTCTCAATCACATTTCCTAAAATATGCCTATAGTCCTTTTCTAGCCTTTCTCTAGCTGAGAGACATAGCAAACAGTAAGAGCCCACCTGAGATTATTACATTCCAGTAATGAAAAAAATCTATGTGCTATTATTTCCTATGCAAAATAATGACAATAAATAATCTGTAATCATTTTGATAGTAAAATATTAGCAGCAAAATCACAAAGTTATTAACAAATTAACAGATCGCCACAATTTGAAGATTCTGTGGCAACCAGGGCATCAGTGCATGAACCTACTGCCAGTCGTTTCATAACTGTTCATAACTGTGTAGTAAACCTGACACCACACACTAGTTTCTAAGTATTTGTCATTCTCACCTGATATGTCTCCACAGGCCTGTTTTCCATATTCAGGTCCCAAATCTTTACAGACAAGTAGTCTCTAGTCATCATGTAGCGTCCGTTGTGGCTAAATTTAACATCTGAGATTGATGATATGATCTCAGAGAAAAAGGAGCGATTACTTGGATCTTCTGGTTCCTCAAACACTGGATGACAGAAAGATGAAAAAGTCAAACTGCAGTGTTCGCCAAAAGGTCTACTGTGACATCAAAGTGGTTTGCATAACAAATCCAGTACTTAATCTGCCTGTCAGGGTAGAAGAAGGGACATATAAAAGTATGATGAGTAGGTACTCACACTTTGAGTGCTTGTCACATAGCGCTGAAACTCTCATGTCACACAGTCGGATGGTTCCTTTGCTGCTGCTGTAAACGAAGGTGTTACATTGATGAGGGTGGAACTCTGCTGCTGTGATCACCTCTGTAAGTTCCTCCATGTTAGCCGGTTTAATGTCAACAATATCTGAGGAGCATGCGGGTAAGGAGGGATAACGTCTTTCATACTCTGACACCTACCAAAAGAAGCTGAAGTGACTTTCAAACTGGGCGATTACAGGTGGTTTACTACCACAAGAGCTAATGGGCCATTTTAGGGCAACCTGTACCTTGCATGTGTGCATGCTCGAACTGCAGGAACTATCCCTCTGGAACCTTCTGCAGAGCCATTTTCAGGACAGTGTGACCCGATGTAGGTCCTGAAATGTTTTTTTTCATGGAGCTACAAGATTTCTTTGTTTGTCTTTTCTGTTTTCCCATTGCACTGAAGACCCACAAAGAACAGTCACATTAGCCACTGGACATGGCTACAGCTATGTTTTTCCATGCAAGACTTTAGAAAACAATGGACCAGGTTACATCTCAGTCCCCATCTCTTCTGTTCTGTGTCAGAGATGAGAGCACACACGCAAACCAGCCACAGTAGAGTGAGTGAGGCAGAACCTTCCTGCAGGTTTGCGCTAAGGTGTAGGAATAATGAAGCTTTTATGTTCACTGTTCACCCCCCGTTGGACAAAAACATCAGGCTGATGACAGACAGCCTTGAGACAAAACAAACTTAAACATATTTAGATCATCTGATATCTGGGTTTAGGTTAATGCACAAGTCAGGTGCACAGATAAACATGCCCGAATGCATCTAAGGATACTGAAGCTGCGGTCAGTGATCTCGAGGTGCCAGAGGTTGATGCGGAGGTCGTCTGCAGACAGGTAGGTCTCGTTGTCGCTGTTGACTGAGACAGAGTTGATATGGTAGGTGTGAGCGTTGGCAAACACCCTCCGTGGACTGGCTTCCACCATGAGGTCCATGGGTTTTAAAACTGGTACCTGTGATGAGAAAAGGCAGTGAAAGTTAGCTGGCTCAAAGCTCTTCACAGATTTGAAACAACATCTAGCTATTAGCTAGAGGAAAATAAGAAGCACCATCATATCTTTATACAGGAGCACAGAACACAGTCTTAGCTTTGCAATAATAGGTTACACAAGGTTCTAAAAAGACAGCCCGGATTAGTAATAACAGTCATTTTTACCATCAGCAAAAGCAAAGGATGACAAACCAGTAGCCCTTCCCAACTTCTGACACACCCAGGTTTTAAAAGTTTTTCTTCTAAAGAACTACTGGTTTGTCTGACTTGTCTAACCACACCCTTGAACCAGCCTGTGGTTGATTTGAGAACTGACCCGCAAAGATGTGATAGTGTTAGGGTCCTTGTAGCGCCCATCCTCCTCTTTGAGATTGTAGCCCTCTGGCCTCTTGTCTCGTTCACTGATTTTCCACAATTTAATCGTTTTATCTGTGGAAAAGAAAAAGACATTTTAAATGACATTACCAACTGTAGGGCACACTAAATGGAAATGTAATTTTCTTATAGATTTATGAGGTTTTTAAAGCAATTCAGGTCTTCATGTAGTCGATATACAGCAGACTTTCTTAAACTGTTTGTACTCTGAAAACGTTGCCTTTTCACCTGGTGCTATAAATAATGAACTTTTTGCTCAGTGCCTTCTATAAAATGCAAGTGTATGGTGTCTACATACATGAGATGGTGGTTTCACAAGAGTCAGGTAGCAATTTTATGACAGACAGAGTACTACTCTTAACTAACAAGCAGATTCATTAATTTCACCATCTTGTGGAGGAAATTATCATATTATGTTTTAATATCTAGTTCTCTTCACATCTGAGTCAAGTGTGACGGGCTCTATGAGTCACTCATTTCTTTTTAATGCCGGTATTCAAAATTAAACTCACTGCAGACTGTTGTTAAATATCTGATCATCAGCTTAATTAAAGAGAGAAATTTACCATTAGTTGACAACAGGAACTGAGCAGCATTCTTCTGAGGAAGCCAGCGAATCTTGTTGATTTTCTCTTCTATTTCCAAACTCTTCAGGTAGTCAAACTCTGGCTCATGGCTCTGAAAAGTGCTGTAAACATTGTACTCGCTCCGGAACTGAGGCTGATTTTTGTTCTGTTGAGAACCAGAGATGAGTAAATTTGTTTAAAAGGTTTTTTTTGTATGAAAACAGACAAAATCATATTTTAAATAAAGCCCACTATTGTTTGTTTACAGACATGCTTCCAAAAACTAGAATCATCTGTTCTGACTTTGTGTCACCAAGTCCAGAGGATGACCTTTTCTAAAATGTGTGGGAATCAAACTAGGCAGAAGTTAACCATGCAGCTGTACCTCTATTTCCTGTTGGAAGATGACTACGCGTCCACCCTTGTCTCCTGTGGCCAGCAGCTCCCCTGTGTGGTTAAATTCAACTGTAGATATAATGTCCGCTGCAAAAAAAATAAAAAGGACATAAGATTACATGTGCAATTGTAACATTTTGAAAGTGGCATACCAAGACAGATGTGCCCCTCTACTACTGAGAAAGTACACCAGGAAACCACTTAGTTATTCTCAACTAACCCTGGATTTATCCTTGTGAGAATCAGAGAGGAGACAGGCAAGTGGCCTTGAAGATGCAGGAGGATGTCACAGCACGTCGGACAGAATGAAAACGATCGCTAACCTAGTTTTCATCTTTTCTTTCCCTCTTACTCTGACAGAATTACACTTTCCCCCCCAGCAGCAGTATGCTGCTTTATACACTGAAGCTCACTCACACATAAACAGTTGTTTAACCCTTTGTTGCCCACTGGAGCAGAAAGACAACGCTCCAAGAAATTGCAGCGAGTGGTCATTGTTAACGACACAGTCCCTGAGGCCTAGAGTAAGGATTAATATATCCAAGCAAATCATTCTGACAGACTGTATTTGGTTAATTTTTAAAGTAAAGACATCAAAAATACAAATGCCAAATCTTAAAATAAGGTTAGAACGTGGCTTGAAATGACCTGAAAAGCTTGGGCATGCTGCTACTTGTAAAGCAGCGAAAGAACTATATCAGTGCTATGGTATTCTCTGTATGTTTTTTGTTGCAAAACTCCAGGCATGGTCTTGTACCTGGCATCTAGAGAATGGCAACATGCTTCACATGGAACTCTGTAGCAGTCTGACAGCTCCCAACCCTTTCACATGTTCTGTCAGTAAAGACAGTACATTTCTCACTTCACTGCATACAGTGTGGATATATACTGACTTTCATTATCCATCGTTTTCATATCTGTGATAGCCATGTCACGTTACAGGTTATTTCCACAATAAGCTTATTATTTAGTTGTTTCCTCCACCATTGCCTGCAAAACAAGCTCAGACTGACCTCCCACCTCAAAACAGAATATCTCCATCCACATGCCTAACATCTGACTAAGTGCTCTTTTAATCAAATCCTGCTCCTTTTTTCCTTCGAACGTGCCTTTAGAGTTTGTGCTAGAAAACTCTTCTTGCATTTCTATATGATGGCCCATAGTTCATATCACCAATGCTGTACAGTCCACCCATCTCTCAGCTAAACCTTCCTGCAGCTCCTGCCTGTGCAATAATATTTCCATTTGGAAAAGGAAACATGCAGTCATGTTGTTCTTCCATCTTATTTTGACTTCCACATTTCCCCATAATTTCCTCCTTCAAGTAATTTTTTTTAAAAGCTGTAAATATGAGCTGAAGTGTTTTCATATCTTTTTATGGCCTTCCCCTACTTTGCTGACATCAGTGACTTGTTTATAGGAGTCCATTGTTGTTGAGTCTTACCACACAGTTTAAAGACTGCAACAATTCACGAACTCTTTAGATACAAAAGTTACCCACAAGCTCAACAATATGTAACACTACAGCGCGCTCTTAAAGAAAGATGGACTTAAATATATATTTTTAAATGCAAATATTGATGCTCACCTTCCATATAACTATATCACCAAAATTATTTAACAAAAATTAAGATTATAATATAATTCACCAAAATAAATCACATCTAACAGAGGTACAAACCACTCTACAGCATCTGATAGCGGTTCACAGCTATTGATTTATCCTTTCAGCCTCTGAGCTTTTGTCCATCAGCCATCTGGAGGTCCCGTTTTCCAATTTTCCTGAAAAGTACGATACTCCCACAATGAGCAACCAAGAACAGAGTGCATGGAACAGCACAAGTGGCCCTGCATTATCAGCAGGTAATTATCCAAACACCTGACTCATGTCCTTTTTTTTTTTAAGCATTCCTCTTGAAAATGCTAAAACCTCCAAATCTAGTGGCTGATCCATGTACAGAAAGTACAGAAGGACCCAGTAGCGAGTTTCCAGCAGCAACCTAAATGTCTGCATTGCCTTTTTCAAAAAGAGCTTTCCGGTGACTCACCAATGGAAAGCCTTTAATGTAAAGCAGGAGCAGCATCAAGTGTTTGGGTTGCATCTCTTCAGTGGAAACTAGAAGGGCACTTAAAAAGCACAGTCCTTTACCATGGCAAACAGTCCGATCAGACTTTATAATCACTACATCACACACGTCTGAGCAGGAAAGGAGCAACATTAGATATCAGTTCAATGTAACAGTTTCTGAAACAGCTGGTGTACTCTGCACCCCCCACCCCCATGTGGGGCCCCTTTGGGGAGGTTTCTTAAAGAAATGTCATTGCACATCCCTAGATTGATTGGTTAAAGGAGGAAAGGGGAAGGTTTGTCAGCTCTTGGTGGTCTCCTAAAAGCCTGGGGCCACAGCTGCTTGGAATGTCTGTTCACAAGCTTCTATTATGACTGAATTATGAAAAACCGGGATTTGCATCAGCACCAAAATTTTGTCGATTCTGCCTTAGCCTCAGACTCACTCTCCTGTAGATTTTGCATAATGCTGCCAACAGGAAACAGAAAAAAATGTCTGAATTTTCACCAAGACATACCCCACTATGGCTAAATTGTGCAATATCGATTAGTCTGAATTAATCAAATCACTTACCCTCAGCTACGTCATCATCGATTGCTCCTTTCACCTGAGAGAAGCACCACTGCATGTCACCTCCAGGACCTACAGAAATACAATTATAAATATTTAGTTCTGGGTGGTTGCAGGTTTATTACATAACATTTCACATTCTGGACAATGTAAACAAGTTCCTAAGAAAACCTTTATCATATGAGTGTCCCCTGCTGCCTGTGACAGCAAGGGATAATTGATAAGATGTTAGAAATTAAAAAGAGACAGGGTTCTTGCAAAAATGTGTGTGGTCATAGATGTGCACATATCCTCTCACAACTTCTGCAATTCTAGCCTCAAAGAAAACAGACAAAAATGTCATTTTTTCTCCAAACTAACATTAACATAAAGATATTACTGTTGGGTCACAGGCACATTAAGCAACAAGTGGAAACCGGCGATTTTTAAATAAATATATACATGCTAGATCTAAGCCATGATTAGTTGGTAGTGTGGTTTCTCACTTTGAGATACAGAGTCTGGTTCAAATCTCACAAATACCAACTAAACTGCAAATGGCCTGGATGTGAAAGTGATTATCTCCACACATTCTTTATTTTAGGCCTGGTCAATTGAGGAGGCAGATGGTCTCCTAATGCAGTCTCTTATTTTTAAAATCTACATCAACAAGACAAAACTTGCTGTCTGATTCAATAATACCTTCTAATCACTTGCCTCAACAGGTTCTCCATCAACATAGCTCATTGCACAACAAAAATGTTTGGCATATTTTCCAAAGATGATCGTTTCTCTTATTGGTTAAGTGGAAACTGGTCCGATTTGTCTTTAACAACATTGAAACACACGGCTTTGAAGAAAAATGAAGGACATCTATGAGTCACCACGGATTCATCACACACACACATTCTGGACTGAATCATAAAAGTACTGATCTGGACAAAATGTAATAGCTTCACAGTGCCTGCACTTTCTGCAAGACAAAGATCCCAGAAAAGAAAAAGGCGTTCAAAGTGAACTCAAAAATCTGTTTTAAAAGCAGGATAACATGCAGTGTCATTAATTTCTCCACCCTAATGAATCAAATGCATGTACCAAATATGTCACTAGATATTTCCTTTACAAGTATCAGTCCCGTCTGGCTACGGGGGGAGCTAAAGGCCAACACGATTTCAAACAACTACTGAGCTGATGAATGAACTGAAAATCAACACTGCGCTAAATAAACTCATCTCTGCCAGAGTCCTGGTTTAGACCATAGTGCTTTTATTTGTTTCGCTTTGAGGTTGTTTTTTTTCTTCGTTTTTCCGCTCGAGCATGCGCGTGTTAAAAAAAAACAAGCCTGATGACTTTTAACTCATTTTACGCAAAAACTGTTCAGTCTGCAGCAGGGCCTGGAGGGCTAGCCTGCATGTGGGTAATGTCAAAGTTTGAGCGAAGCCAATTACGGCATGCTAGGCAAAATTTGCCCTTCTGGGCATTTGTTTAATCTTTTCGAAATAAAAAAAAAAACAACCTTAGACTAAAAATCTGAGCACTGAGGTTTTGGGGATAGCTAGCATATACGGCGTGCACAGTTAGCTTACGAAAATGGTCCCGGGCCGGTAAACAGCCAGCTAGCTAGCTAGCATTAGCCGGTAAGGGCAGGCCAGATGGAGGATGACACTTGAGTTAGCTGGCTAGCTAACGCTAGCAATAGCTAGCTACCGTTAGCTAAACCGATACTCGACTGCGAAATCTCGCGGCTAAGAGCTCATAGAAGCGGGGTCTCGCTGTAAAGACCCATGCCCGTCCACATTATTTTATGTGTAACGGTTAACGTCAATTACCTGCCATAACGAGACAGACAGTGGAGCTTGCCTCAGTCAGTCACGATCCTGCTTCCCACTCCCACGCGCTGATTCGTGGGATCTGAACTTTTTTTTTCTTCCGCTCGGTATCCGCTGTTCGTGTGCGCAGATCGAAATGTCTGCGAGGCTTTAAATTAACCGTAAAGCTGGATGTTTTATAACTCTCCTTCTTTTATTTCCCGCTGCGCTCCCTGACGTTTCTCTCTGTGTGTCAATCAACCTCCTCTGCCTCTCTTGCCGCCGGCTACTTCGCATCCCACAAGTCATTTCTTCCCCACCCCACACCACAGTCTCTTCCGCACGTGAACTAAAAGGTCTTTATAATGCGCGCGCACACAGCAAAGCAGATGCACGAGCACGCGCGTACTCACATCTGGGTGAAGAGGGTATAAACGTATTCTGCATTAATACTGCAACTCGATACAAACCTTAAGGAAGTATTAATAGTTCTTGTAGTTCTTTGTACTCCGTTACTGTGAAAAGTAACGGAGTACAAGGATGACCAAATCTGAATCAAATCAGCATGCTTGGCTAGAGCACGATTTTTCTGTTGGATTCAGGTTGAATCTTATGAAAATAATAATAATAAAAAAATCACTTCCCAATAAGCTATCTAAGATTACTCTGAATGTGTGTTGCCACAACTTGTGTCAATATATATGTACATTTCCTGAAAATATGACTTACAGTCTCAGTGAGGGAATCACAATTTAGACATAAGACCTGATCAAGAAGAAAAGGGGAGGTAGAGAAAGGAAAGGAAGATGGTAGCAAGAACTGTCCATGTGTGATGTTTGCAAAAAGGTATGAGGCAGATTTTAAAGATGCTAAGATTTTTACTGGAAGTTATTGGAATGGACAGGATTAGAAATGAGTGGTTCAGAGGGAATGCAGGTTTGGAGATGAGGTTAGCGAGATAAGGTTGAGATGGTCTGGACATATACAGAAGAAGAACAGTGGATATACAGGAAAATAGGAGTGCCTCAGAAGATGTAGTGAACAAGGGCATGCAGAGTTAATGTGGCAGACTGCTTTACAGTCCCACCTAAAGTAGGAAACCCGGTTACCGCAGGCCAGATCAGACAGAGAAACAGTCAGGTTAAAGGTGACCTTTGGATTAGCAACTAATTAATCACTGCTTTTGTGGAAGAGGATGGATGGATGCATGGAAGCATGAGGAACCAGTAAATGTAATTATTTAGATGCAGAGGTGCAGAGGTGTTGGACGTTGATATATTGACAGTACCCTGCTTCTACATTGAATGTTTTTTTTATGTGTCTTGACTAATGTATTTCAAAATTTCTTTTTCACAGCAAATTTTACTGCAGTCAAAATTTCAAAACAAGCTCTTTCTCTTTGCCTCTTCCTTTATTTTTTCAGTAAGTTATGCATACTGTAAAGGAACCAGTGTCTGTTAGCACTGCAAACACACAGGCCTTCAGATGGCAAAGAGATAGTTTCACCACCCACATGGATCCTTGAGATCCTTTATCTTCTTCAGGGGAAGTATGCCTACCGAAGAAAATAGAAATGCACCATTCCGTTATCTGTGCTAATTCAGGAACGCAAGAAATACCATCAAAAGACAAGCCTGAAGAAGAAAGAGATTGAAATTAATATTTTGTTTCTAAATGCTTGTTCAGCTGGAGAGAGACACTACTGCCAAATATAATATCTTAGACTTAGTGAAGCTGTCAGTTCTTTGCAAGACGATTCTTTCTGACCCACTTTACCTGTCAGTGTTTTCAAGCCCGGTATTAGACATTTCCAGTTAAAACCCCATCTCAGTTATTATCAGCGAAAGTGCATCTGTTTGCTTGACCTTCTCATCAGAAAGCAGGAGACAAAGAAAGTTTAACTGAGGAGGTTAAGGACAGCAGATGGGATTAATGGACACCCCTTGTGAAAGCCTCTGATTTTGCACGGACCAGCTGGCAGCCAAAGTTTCATGTAAGTCTATTTTTAAGAATCATCCACAAACCCTGCAGCTAGCTGTTTCCACTGGGATTATATATTTAGTATTCTCTAAAAACAACTCTTTCCACCACTGTCTTGGGATCATGCCTTAGCAGGAATTTTAGTCGATGATAATGCCACCACGCTAAAGCTTTAGGAGATATTCATAATATTTAGCATTAAACACAAAGTACAGCTGAGGCTTCAATTTTATATTTAATCGTAAAGCAAAAGAATAACAAATGAAAACTTTAGCAAAGCAATGATAGCTGAAGAACTAAGAGGTCAACAGCACCATCACTTGGTGGAAATGGGAGTTTAAAAATATGAACAAAGTTTAGATGTCCACCTCCTGGTGACATTCAAGTACAAGGAAAGCCTGGAGTCACCCAAATTATTAGGATTTGAGCTCCTAAGCAATGCATGCCTGTACAGATTAGCGTGCCGGTCAACTGAAGGAGCACCAAAGTATTTCATGAGGAAAATGGAAAACGCCGACCTGCTAATCAGGATGTTGCCAGAGTCATTAGCAGTCATCCTCTGAGCTTTGTAAGCAGCTGCCAAGAGATATCACTAAAAATAAAAACATGCAAAAGAACATACAGCCCTGTCTATTGAGGATTACCAGATTTCCTGCATGCCAGGCTGAGGGCAGCATATGTCACTCTGAAAAAGCATGGCACGAAAACAAGACTTTCTTGTTGGGATGTTTTCATCCATGACTGGACGCTCCTCTGTTTGTAAATCGTCCAGCTCCAAATATTAGCAAGAAGAAGGAAATGCACATTAGTGAAAGCAATTTACAGTACAGTATATCTTCAAAGCAATTTGTTATTTTCATAAATATTTTATTAACCATGTTAACCTGGAATAATTAAATACTTTGTTTTGTTTGTTTGTTTGTCTGTCTTTTAACTGGAGAACATCTTGAACTCCTGACAAATCAAAAACAAAAGAAATCAAATATCAATTTTCATATTTGAATTTTAATTTGTAACATTTTTTTGATACATCGGGCATTTTATTCATTTATCTATTCATTTAGTTAGTTTGTTAGTTATTTGCAATTTATTGACTAAAATGTATTGTGCATTTTATTCTTTTTTTTCCTGAAAAAATAACCACACAAATGTTGTAGCAGTCTCAAAAACACGCGTATCAAATGTGACACTTTTTGGCTGATGCACATTTTTATGCTGCCTTGATGCTAAACTATATTCATCATATTAGATAGTGTGAACGAGAAGCAATCATGCTTTATTTACAGGCACTCATTATCACAACATTTATTCAACATAAACTGTGTATAAATATCCCCTTGAATAGTAAATAATAACAATAATAATAATAATATTAACAATAGTAAGGGAAATTTCTAAGGTCTGTTTGTTATTTTTAAACATCACTCAAAAGTTAAACTAACTGCACAGCCAACCACCTTTCTTGCTCAGTCACTCAAACAACCTTTGTCTGAGTATGCCAGTTAGGTGACTAAAAACTAGCCTGCTCTTTGCTTTTTAGGCCACAAGAGGGCCATTGATGAGCTTTTATTAGTAGAATAGGTAATAGTATGGTACCAGACAGGGGCAGTGTTGTTTAAGAAGCCCTCTCCTGAACGAAGAGTGAGTCGTGGCCGGAAGTTACAGTTGTGGCAGAGATTCTATTATAATACCCAAAAGATAAATAAGAATAAAAATACAATAAAAATAAACTGTCTCACATACACGCACACAAAACCAATCAACCAAACAACAACACCTTTTTAAGCTGTTGTTGTTTTTTTCTTTTTCTTTCATAAATAATATTAAAATAAATTAAAAATATTAAAATAGCCAAGCCAGTACTGAACCCCTAAATATAATAAGCAGCTATTACTTGTACCGGTTATTCTGTGCATCTTGTCCCAGCTACATTATACATAGACAGACAGATATGCAGCAGGCGGTGCAGCAGACAGGCGGAGAGGGTGTGTCATATAGTGAGTCCCGGGCCAGAACCATAAAAAGCTGCTTTGCGCTCTGCTGAACTACCGACTCTGTGCTCCTGCTGCAGCTCAGGTCCACACCCGTCCGTCCGTTATAGACCCAGATCACAACCTCCGCGTTCAGGTAAGGTTTGTGTTATTAACCCACGTTATTTGAAGAAAATATGTTGCCTGACGCACAGATTGCAGGTCGGTAATTTGATGCGTTATTTAACGCCCGTTAGTTCTGTCTGGATTATAGGTTTAACAGAGAGAGACTAAACTACAGGGTGAAATTACGGTTTTTGTTATACTTTAACCAATATTCTTCTTATCTAATAAATAGAAAAAGTGCTGAACTTAGCTTTTAATTAGCTAGAATGCAAGGCAGTGTTGCCATATAAGGACAAGTCGACGGAAACCTGAAATGTTTCCTGAAAATGCAGCGTGGATAAAAACTGACGTCACACTCTGTCTGACCGTATTCAGAGTGACTTTCATGATGTGATGCAAAAACCCAAACAACATGTTACTATAGAAACATGCTGTTTTTCAGGATCTATGGTAGAAACTGTGAGATTCTACCTAGCAGCTTTGTATCCTAACGCTGGGGTGTCGAACATATGACCAAAGGTTGGTTGTTGCAAAGCATGAAAATTACAGAAACCATTTAAAATTTGAGTTTTATTAATAAAGTGCACCATTATTCATGGTGTGGTGTAGTTAATATCACTACACACAAATGCAGTATTATACAAAAAGTTTTACTGGTCTTAGATTAAAATGGGTTATGTGTCACCCGTGGACTAAACTGAGTGTACCCGTCTGTCCTAAACACTAGTTACTGTGGTTGTGGTTGCCACAGAAATGACCAAACAGTTATGAGCAGATCTTCCACAACATCCTCTTCATGACAGTTGTAGCGAGCATATACTGAGTGCATCAGACTGTATGATGTGTGCAAAAGTTAGAAAGAACTGAGTCAGCTCCTCACTCCAGAGATTAAGTGGTGTCTGAACTACACCCTACTTCAAATTTATACGCCTTAAACAACAGTGTGCATGCTTTCTTTAGGGATCATCTGGGGAACAACAAGAATGGGTGCATACCAAGTTGTGGTCAGAAGTTTACATACACTTATCCCGGGCATGAATGTTATGGTAATATTGGGCTTTTAATAATGTCTTCGAACTGTTCTTTTTCCAGGGTGGAAGGATTGTACAGCATACATCTTTAATAACATTCAAAAACAAGAAATGGGTGCACAAGTTAGAATTTATTTTGGATTTCTTTACTGCACACAGAGTCAAAAGTATGTATATATACAGGTTCAAATATGTATTTACGCTCACTAGTATTTGGCTAAATGTCCCTTAGTAAGTTGCACCTTGACCAGATGTTTTTGGTAGCCATCAACAAGCTTCTGGCAAAATTCTAGCTGAATTGACCAATACTCAGAACAATGGGAAAGTCCAAGGAACTCAGTGAAGATCTAAAACAGAGCATTGTAGATTTACACAAGTTGGGAAAGTCTCTTGGAGTTATTTCTAAAGAACTACAAATTCCAAGATCATCAGTTCAAACAATTGTATGTAAGTACAAGTTACTCAGATGTGTCACCACTTTGCCGATGTCTGGAAGAAGACCCAAACTGTCACCGTCAGATGAAAGGAAATTAGTTCAGATGTTCATGAATAACTCAGGACTCACTGCTGACATCACCATTACTGTCCACTGTGAGACGAGTTTTACATCGCCATGGACTGGCCAGGGGCCAACCAAGAAAGAAGCCCCTGCTCCAAAATCAACAGCTTCAAGCTCCATTGAAACTTGCAGCTGCCCACATGGACGAACCACATGCCTTCTGGAAAAAAGTTTTATGTTCAGATGAGAGAAATTTTGAGCTATCTGGCCACAATGACAAGAGGTATGGTTGGAGGAGTAAAAGTGAGGATTTCAAGAACACAGTACCAATTGTCAAGCATGGTGGTGGTAGCATCACCAGTGGGGCTGTTTTGCTGTCAGTGGTGTTGGTACATTGCAGGAAATGGAGGGAATGATGAAGAAAGAAGATTACCTCTAAATTCTTCAACTTCACCTCAAATCAACAGCTAGACAATTGAAACGTGGTCACAGTTGGATGTTCCAACAGGACAATTGCTCCCAAACACACATGAAAATTGGTTTTGGAATCAATAAAACAGGCTAATGTTAATCTTTGTACAGTCTTATTTTGTGCAATAGATCATAAACATTTTATTTTTACTCAGAAATCATTTCATTGTGAAATTATTAGTGTTGTCAGCGTTAATCTCGCTAAAATGACGTTAACGCCATAACCGCATTAACGCGGCAAATCTCCGTTAGCAAGTTAACGCAGATCGCCCCATGCGAGTTGCTACACAGCGCTAACGCATTAACGAGCTAACTGCGCTGACGCGTTGATGCCATGCAGCCCTCGCATGGAGCGAGCCCCGTTAACGCTGACAGCACTAGAAATTTTATATTGTATATCAAACTTTTAACAGAATCTTACTTTAATGAGAGTACTGTGTGTCATAGCAGAGCATTTTTGTAGGCTAAATCTGCAGCGCCCGTCAAAGTAAGAGTGCCCCAACCACTGAAAGTGTCTGATACTTATAACTCATTGCAAACATGAACTCAATTAACAATTAATAACACTGTTAAGATAAGCAGGAGTGGATATTTTACCTGTGTAAAATAAAGGTCCTGTGAGATTTAATTGAAATTACACACTCAGTCTGCTTTGTTGAGGCTCAAAACCAATAGAAAAAGACAACCTTTTATGTCAGAAAAGGCCAAGAGAGCTGTAAGCTGCTAAGTTCAGACAACCTGGCAGATTGACTCTGCATGAAAAATGAGAGCATGTCTTGTGTTTTTTAAATATCCATTTCCTGACCAGCTGCCTCTTGTGGTCATGCAGTCTAGTATTGACTATTGTCCCAATCTTTACAGAGTTGAGATTGTGTGTCAGTGTTGTAAAGCATTGCTATGGTGGCTATGGATGGATGTTTGGCATTCAGTCACCGCAAAATTTTATTTTATGATTTGACTGTCAAATGAATCAAACTGGACTAGGGATATCTAGGCTGCCTTCAACCACAAGTTAAAGTTAAGTTTAGATCTATGTAATTTTATAAAATATTTTATTTTAAATGCCATTTAAATTAGACTTGTGAAAGTGATCATCATTGTATATGAATATATGTGAATACACCTCAAGCCCCAGAAGCTAGTCTTGTCCCATTAAGCAGCATTGACTTCTTGTAAGTCTTATGTGTAGCTCACAATGGCTTCTGATTTTTTTAAACATGCAAAGTTCTCATAGTTCTTCCTCTAACTCCCCAATTATTAGCTTTGAATAATTTCATGGTGGATGTAATTATGTTTGTAGGATCATTAATCTAACGGTCAGCTTACTTTTTAACTTCAGCTTTCTGCCTCATGTTGTCTTTGGGTACTTTAAGTGCACAGATGAACGAATGACTGCAAACTGCCAAGTTCCTGAGGCAGCAGTGCAACCACAATCATAATGACTTCTCTATAACTGATACATAAAGCAAACATTTTACTGTAGTTTTCTTTTGTTACTGTGAAATTGACTACACAATATCATGAATTTTCCTGTTTAAAAGTCTAAAATTGCATTGTTTGGGGCCATAATTGAAAAAGAAAGTAATGTGTAACACATTACTTGTTACTTAATTACTCACTGGAGAACTCACTTCATATGCGCACATACAGAGTGAAATCCCATCTTTAAAACTTTCTGCACATTACATGAGAAGAGAAGTGGTTACAGAGTTTTTCAGCTATGGCTACTCACATATTGATTGTTCCTGAAATAAGTTTCTCATATCATTTGACAGCCATCCATAAATCAGGGAGGTTATTTACAAAGTCATAAACAGCCATTTTGATTCTCTTTGTCTTACACAGTGTCAACAAATGGGAGGGAAGCAGAGTGGCTATTACAGAGTCTGTACAGAGCATTATCTGATGTGTCCTGAGCAAGTTACATGGCAGCTCAGCAGCCCTGAAGAGGCTGAAAGTGGCATGCATGGAGGAAATGAGTCACCAGAAATACCACC